ATCAGAAGAATTTTTTTAAAACATAAAGCATCCAGATTTCTTTGTTTTACTTCATTTCTACTTTCGAAGTGAGGGCGTGGGGTTGCAGGTGTCGACCTAGGTCACTGATATCATCATCATCAATCATTATATTGCATAACAATATAATTATGTCGGTAATTATAGGCTTTGTGTTTTCATAATTAGAGTCTCTTCAATTTTAAGCAGCTGAACTAATGATTATTGTGTTATCAATACATAAAACAATATCCTAGTTTACACTTCGACAAAGAAATTCGTAAATTTCCAATATGAACATTTGTATAATAACATTATGTATATTATGTTTCATTGTTATATTAAAATATATTTGTAGTTGAGCGTGTAAAAATAATTCAAAGTAGCTACATTTATCAGGTTATAAAATTAATATTTAAGTTAAGCATTTCCTCTTTGAAAAGTTAGTCTCGGGTCATGTTCACTCAAATCACATGAAAATCTCAAGGTATGTTGGAGAAGCTATACTACAATTTTTAGGCCTATATCATGATATCCTTAAGAAATCATCATCAAATAATGGTCAAAAATAGCTCATTTGGTAAGCCGAAATTCTCTGTAGGCCTTCATTTTATCTACTTAATTTTTTGTGTTTGAAAGAAGATGTTAGAATGCAGAGCATGACAAAGCTCTTTTTTTTTTCAAACTCATACTTGGGAATGGGAAAAAGAGAGATGAAAAGTTCAATGTATGGAGAAACTCTCAAAAAAAAGGCACTCTACTTATAAAACTACTTGTATATATAATAGTAACAAAGCTTAATGCAAAAACAGAGTCTGTAATGTCCAGCATTTTGATATACTCTTTCATACAAAAGAAAAAGAGATTGACTATAACAAAGTTCCTTCAAGAATTCTTAGATACGTGATCGAAAATAGCACGAATTAAGGAAAAAAAGAAAAATATTGTTCATTGTTTCTGAAAGCAGCATATGTTTCAAACAGAAGATAACGGAAATCATAAAAAACCGTTTTTGCAATAACAAATGGCAAATAGAAAAAAAGAATCACATGGTGTCAGAAAGATGAGACTTCGGATTATTCTCCCATACATTTATCTCAATTTCGATTTTTCTGATCAATATTGAATCGGCAAAGCAATATCAATCCTATATTATTGTCGTAATAGGAAAAAAAGCGACTCAATGAACCGATAAAAATAAATATCAAAAGAATAAATGTGTTTTTGACAGATCTCGTTAAGTAAACATCTACTTTGCTTTGAGCCATTTTATAACCTCTGAAGATATTTAATTTATAATGAATACTATTTGAACTTCTTATGTGTGTTCAAGATTGTCTTCAGCTGCCCAATAATCGCTTCATAGTGAACTATATGCCTTGATATGTATAGTTGGCCGTAGTATTGTAAAGCTTTCGAAATATATTCAACTCAATAATTAAAATTTTCAATTTTTTCCATTTTTTCAATATTACTGACTTTGTAGATCCGGTATGTCCACAGCGGCACAATGAAGAACAAATATTCTTTTTACTGATTAATAGCTTATGAAGTTCATTTCAAAATATATTTGTATTGTTTTCAAATCCTATGCTTTTTTTATTCTCTTCAATGATTCTACAGATGGTCACTTCAGTGGCCAACGGAGATGACAAAGATTTAAAACCAATTTTCACAATATTATTTCGTAGAGATTAAAAAAAACAGTTATTCAATGAAAAATGTGCAGCACGACAGAGGTTCGTTTCATATGCTATTAATCAACATCAGTGACTCATAGAAGATGTTATAAACCATATAGAACAAGATAAATGACAAACACATGGACTTTTCTTTTCACTGTTTTTTTTTTCTACCTATAAATACATAAAAGTTGTTTGTTGGTACTTATGAGAAACGAAGAAATCTAGCTCTTTTTTGCTATAAAATCGTTCATAAGGTAAGTTTATTTTCAAGAACTAAAACTTTTGATTTCACAAATGAGACATATATTATTCGACATTTGTTTTATTTTATCGTGAATCTTATTCGCAGTTTTGATAAGTATTTTTTATCCGAACATTATGATTTCATCGATTAATATATTTTCAACAATAATTTCTACAGTAAATACAGAAAATTGTGTAATAATCGGCGATTTATAAGTTCAGTTAGTTGTGAGCTTATATTGCGATTACTATACAATTTTTTAAAAAATCAATGAATAAGTAAATCTCATAAATTTTTTATAGAAGGATCTCATTCAAAAAAACTCCCTCATAAATTACGAGACGGACTCTCTGGTTATTTCTTTTTAAGTCTGCTGAAAATATTGTGAATATTCTAAGCTTTCATATAGAGGACGTCATTTATTGTTGTGTTCTCATGAAGTTCTCATAGATGAGAGAAATGCAATATTCTTTCCTCCTTCTAATGACGATAAAAATATAATTGTTCTTTTTTTTCAATTATGCACACCGATAATATTATAGTTGATATTAATTTAAAAAAGAAATAATTTATATTCTAAAGTCATGCTCAAGGAAGTTCTTATGATTGCAATTGTTTTTCAAACTCTTAATATAAAGAAATCAGAATATTATTTATTTTGTAAAAAAAAAAATACGTATCGTATTTTTGTTCTGGATATTGATCACAATGAAAGTAATACAATTTATTTCTTAAAATAAGAAACTTGCTGTCGAAATTTTTCTAAATTAAAGTAATTACTATAATAAAATCAGATGGATATTCACTCCACAATTTCTAGCAAATCACGTGCTGAAAGTTCAAAAGTTTAGCAAATTTCAATTTTAAGAAACAAATCTTTCCTACAGATATTAGAAAAAAGACTAAACTCCAAATCTCATGATTGAATGATCCATTATCAAAGATATGTATTTTTCATTTTCTAGAGCATTAAAAAGGTTATTTTCCGATTTTATAAACAAAAGTGATGAAAAGAAATCTTATGTACAGTAGATTTCTTTTTGTTACTTTTGTTTTCAGAATCAGAAAATAATCTTTAGAATTCTGTACAAAGTGGAAACTAAATAACTGTAATAATGGATGACTCTAATCATGATATGTAGATTTTACTCTTTTTCCTAATAATTCCAAGAAAAACTTGTTTCTAAAAATTAGATTTTCATAGGTAACTCGACGTGCTCTATCCCGTGAGACTAGAAAAGTCGAAAACATAAATTTGTTAGAATTATAAATTTCTGGCACTTCACCATACTATGAAAATATCTGAAATAGTTTTGAAGATAAACTCATCAAAGTTTAGTTATCAGAATCTTGCTCTTATTTGATGAGTTATTGTGACATTTACCATTCTTTCTTTAATATATAATGAGCATCTTCTATTTTTTATGATTACAGATTACTGTGGGTTGAAATCAATCTGGAAACTTTTCAATATTACCATCAAAGAAAAACTATCTATATTATTGATAAATCTCATTTTTAATTGGCTTGTATTAGATATAAAATTCATAATGTCTGTTATTGACATATCCTAGTCAATCATATGTACAATTCGTTTTTATTTTTACTAATGCATATTTTTCTTGATATTATCTTTTGATCTACCTATTGAATCTCTTGCGTTGTAAAAAATCTATTTTGAGCCAGGTTCTTTCAAACTACATGACATTTGTAGAATATGTTGGAAAGGCTATGATTTAACTTTCAGCCCTATATCATACTGTCTGCAGGAGATACTCATCAATCTATAGTCAAAAATAGCTCATTTGACAACTGAAAATTCTCTGTAGGCCCTAATTTTATATATTAATTTTTTTTACAGTGTCGTAGCATACCAGATTGCAATCTTTGACAGAGTCTTATATTTATAAAATTTTTAGTTTTTTTGTGAAGAAGAAAAGATGAACAGTACCATATCTTTCAAGTTTAAAAAATATAATTACCTATTTATAAAAGTGCATTCTTATATAATAATAAAAAAAGCTTTATTCAGGCAACCCATTCTGTTAGGTACTATAAAATCACATGCTCTTTTAAACAAACAAAAAAGGAATTGTCTACAATGAAGTCTCTCCGAAAATTATAGAGTGCGTGATCAAAAAAGCATTAAAAAAAACGAAAAATATTTGCTACTTTTTCTGAAACACAACATATTTTTCAAGCAGAAAGTGGAAGCAATAATCGATATTTTTTCGAAGAAAATACTGTACTAAATAAAAATTGTCTTTTTTTCTTATGTGAACGATTCAACACTTCAATTTATCATTATATGCATTTACCTTAATGTCGATATGGTAGGCGAAAATAACCTTTTTTTCTGAGAACACAACGCCTTTAGTCATAATTACATTATAATTTAATTAGCTAAATATTCCATAGTCTTGCACGATAAAGTCTTTTAAACTATGAAAACGTTGCTTTCATTAAACCTAAAAATTGTCAATCTTTTCTTTTTGTCTATCAGGTAGAAGCCATTAAATATATTAAGCGGAAATTATACGTCCTATAAAAAAAAATAATCGAAGTTCAGGTAGCAGCATTAAGATACATGATTTTGCATGTTTAAAGCAATTTGACGGTAAATAGTATACTAAATTAGAATTCTCAATATCCACGCTCTATTAAAAAAACAATTTGATTTCATCTTGGAACTAATTACTTCTCTGTAATAGAAGTTTGTATTATCTAAATATAGAACAGAAAACATCAGACAGTTTTTTTTCAAAAATGTACGTTGAAAATTTTTCTTTCTTCTTGAATGAACACAAGCTTTTTTTTTTTTTGATGACTGACTATTTTAACAACGGTATATTTTTATCACAGTCGACAATATGTCTCAGTCACAATACTTTACATTGTTCGTTTCCTTTCTTACGAACAAAAACGCGAAGATTGATTTGACTGATGGTATCAAAAATTTAATGGTTTTTTTTTAAAGAAATACGATTTATTGTAACAAGAAAAAAAAAGATTGAAAATGAATAATTTGTTTTTCTATTTGATTTTAGATTCAGTGAGATAGCTTATTGTACAATATGGATCATCAAAAATTCATGTGTATTATTGTATTATTATTTCTTACAATTAATTTTTCATTAACAATTAGTAAGATAACAAAGAAAAAACAACAAATTTTCTTTTTAAAAATTTTATATTGATATTTTATTTTATTTTATTTAAGGTTCTATTGAAAATGATCTACAAAAAGTAAATGTTATATAATAATGATGAATTATTTTTAATGTCATTTTATAGATTTTCAACGAAAATGACAATAATCAGGATAAATTTCAATGGCGTCGTCTATCGGAATTAAATCAACCTTCACCAAATACTATGAATAACAATAAAAAACGACCACGCCTTCTTAAATATGACTTTTTACTTCATCAATGGGTTTTACGTAAAAAATCCTGAGTTTTTTTTTTGTTATTTCTAATACAATTGAACCAAATATTGTTCATTATGATTTTTAAAACTCTTATTCATATTCTTAATAATTTCATCAAGTTTTTGACGATAATAATAATCAAAATAAGATTGCAACTTTACTTGATTTATTTAAAATAAAACAAGAAATAACAAAGATCAGTTCATGTATCATATTATTAGTTTCAAGTCATCTTTAAATGCTTTCATTCAATTAAAAGTCATGTCGAAAGTTCTATCTGCCAAATAGTTTTCTCAATAAATGTAGCTGTATCTGTATAAAAATATGTTTCAAATATTAAATATATTGATTCTTCAAATTCACGCATAGGTGCCGTACAATGTTTGCAAAGAAAATCTCAACTAATAGTAGAGTGTTAGTATTTTTAGTTTCATGATACCTTTCTATCGTATGGCATGATATAAGTTATATGATAGGGGATATCAATAGAACGTAAGCAGATAATTCGCAATAGTGCCCCAAATTTTTCTCATGGAAGTAAGTCATCCCTCATTGAATATTTTATTTAGGATTTTTATCTATATTTATGTAACACAATCAATTATTCTGTATGTACACATTTTAAATGGCGTCATTTTACGGATGATCCTAATGAAGGAAATTCGTTATGTACAATTCGCCAATTGGACTGATATTTTGCTCATAAGTAAGTTCTGAAGAGGCAAGAAAAAGTCTATAAAAATTTGTCCCTATGCACTAATCTTCTCAAGTGATTACAATTTTACTGACGTTCTTTTTTATCTCTGGCAAGATACTTATGGAAAAATTGAATCAAGATATTTCAATCCGAAATTTTATACATAGGCAAATCTTGTGAAGAATGTTTTGAAAATATGAAACGAAAATGATGTATTGTTTCTAAGATACAGAATGTTGAAAACATTGGACTTTTCTTATGATACATGATTATTTTTGAATATTCAATATCTTTAGAATAGCACAATAAGTTACACTTGGGAACATTTCTTCGTACGTCAATATTCAAGATTGAACTGCTTTAAAGTATTTCAATGAAATTTAAAGATATAATTGGTACCAATTTTATTTACAGCGAAACCTCTATTAGTGAACATCTCCCTACTCTGAACTTAAATATTCTTGTTTATTGTCGTGATGACTATTTTAATTTTGTTCAAATGAACATAAGTGTACTTTTTATTCTATCCATCATCTTGAGTATTTCTGGATAATACATTAAACTGCTGTTCATTATTTGCGATAATTGTACACATTAGAAAATGTAATAAAATAACAGCAACATCTTTGATAAAATGAAAGATTTTATTTAACTAGTGATTCATCATAATGTGATTTAGTTGAACATTGAATATTTTATTTGGTTCTGTATCCAATAGTTAAAAACCAACGTTCGTCAAATTCATATATATCAAGACCAAAGCAATATTACAGAACTTTGCAAAACAAAGTAAAGTTTTGTATTCATAAACATTCAAACGAAGGAAGATGTAAAGCATAAAGAATAGCTTCTGACTACTTCAAAATTAATAGGAGCATCTCTTCAGCTGCTCCTTTTTGATTTCAATAATTTTTTTTCGTTTTGTTTATAGATGCTTCATTGTGTTCTAATACAAATCCTAAAAGAATTTGAATTCCTATTGAGATTTGACTAAATTATGGAATTTTGATATAAAACTTTGCGCATATAGAGACCTCAACTAGACTAGTTACCATCAAGAAGTTCCAAAGTTTTAAGCAAAATATTTTTGAGATATAAGACGCTAAAGATAACATACGTAGTCTAGCTGAGATCTCTATCTGCACAAAGTTTTATATCGAAATTCCATAGCTTAGTCAATTTTCAACAGGAATTCAAATTCTTTTACGATTTTTATTCGAACACTATGTAGTATCCATAGGTAAAAGAAAAACACCATCGAAATCAGAATAAGACAACTGAAGAGGTTCCCCCGTATGTTGATTTGATTAATATCCAAAGAATTTATTATATATTCTATCGCAAAATACTCTACATTTTAGTTTAATATCATATATCCGAATGCCATTATGGTCAGGACATATAAAGTGTATCCATCTTGAATTCATTCACTAGTTATATTGTTGAGTACCTATGTAATTAAAATATGACAAAAAAATTTCATGACTTGCATGAATCTGATATTCAAAACACAAAAAAGATGACATTTCCGATGATGAAACAGATATAAAAATTAATATACTTCAATTTCATTAATTAAAATGAACATTTTTATCAATGTTATGCTATAATTTTCAAGACAAAAGTATCTTCATTCCATTCTCTTGATTAGAATGTTATTTTAATCAAGAAAATGCATTGAGAATTGGTTTTATAATGAATATCATAGAATAACATTGATGAATATGTTCATTTTAACGAATGAAATTGAAGTACATCAATTTTTATGTCTATTTCATCATTCTAATGCATATTTTTTTATTTTTCAAGCTCATGGATGATTCCTTGTTGTGTGTATATTACACATTTGAGACGACTATTGAATACCTCGTCAAATAGTCATTTATTTTCATTTTTTTATTGGCCAAGCGAATCATGACAATATGAGGATATGTTATTTCTACTACACATTGATGAAAGAACTTTGTAAAACGATAAATCACTTTACATCTTCTAATATAGGACCTAGAGAAAGCTTAAAAAAGGATTTATTCTTATGGGTCTTTCTTCTTGAATGATGACTATTTTAATGAGTTTTACAACAAAATGTTCTACTCGTCTTCAAAATCATTTTTCGAGTTCAAACATTACATAAATAAAATTTTTAGTAGAAATAAAAAAAAAAAATTAAATTTTTTATTAATTCCTATTGCAAAAAAATAATATTGAAAAACTTGCTACGCAAAGAAAAACAAACTTTATTGTTATATTTATAATTCAGAATGTTAAACACCAGGAAGTTTGATACTTTTACATTGAGCTTATCTTATTGAGAATTTTATATATGCAACATTTGAATTCGAAATTTAATATTAAAGGTAAACTAAATGAGAAAATAGTAGTGCTATGAAAAACTTGCTACAATTCATCTCAGAGGCACAAATAATGTTAGATTTTCTTCAATCTCAATCGAGTCGATCTAATAAAATGTAAGAATAATTTCAAAATCGATTTATCATATGATAAAATTTCTCAATGTCAAACTTCATTTCTTTTTTTATTTGGATGAATAAGCTCTCTATTCTTATACTAAACTATTCACAAGAACATATATTATATATATTTCTTCTTTAAATTAGAAATTTTTAGAGTTGAAATTAATGACCCTAGAAAAAAAAAATGAATGACTTTGTTTTAATCATCATTAACTTAAAAAATATATTTCTAATATGAGAATCGAATATTCTTGTCAACCGTAAAAAAAATTCCTATGAATAAATTTCTATTGAAAACAATTTTATTAACATTCCAGAGAATTAAGTTCGATAAGCATTTAGTAGTCAATTAACAATATGCCATGAAGATTATTATTGATTATTAATGACACAACAGTAAAGCCTAGACAGAATATAGTGACTCTATAATCAGATGACAATGTCATTTCACCAGCTGAGACTTTCATGCTGTCACTTCCATATGTCTTGATAGATGTATACGTAAAATATTTAGATATAAAAAAAAAACGAAAACAACTTATCTTTTCACACTTATGAATTATGTTATATGTATCTGTCAGAAAATTATCGCATGACATATTTTATTACATACATGTCTTTCATATAATTTTCTTTAAGTTTTTAATGTAAAGAATATTTACATGACTAAATAGATGTCAATAACAATAGACAGCTAATAATTAATAGATGTCAATCATGTTTAATAATCCACGAAATAAAATTATGTTAAATATTTTATATATTTAGAAGGTAACAAGTTCATTATTATTCTTATACTAAACATCAATGGCAGAAAATCGTCTGATTTTCTTTACATATATTTCTCTTCTTTTTCTTGTTATACTATCGTCATGTACTGCATATGGACTGTTTAAAGATTCAGCAGGTATATAGGATTTCTGTTTCTTTTTTGAGAAATATAGAATTAACTTTTGAATGTTTTAGCGGATCCAGTACGTCCAATTAAGTATCATACATTAATTGATCCTAGTCGATATGCAGATCGAGTAAGATTGAAGAATATTCTTCTTTTTTTTTTGTTTATAAATTTTTATTTGTTAAATAGACGAAAGAATATCATGATACATTGGCAAAATTACGACTTTGGCGTCGATACCTTGATATATTTGATCAAGATAATAATGCATCACAAGGTTAACTATTCAAATTATATTTTGTTTGATAGAAAATTCTATTAATATATTATTTTGAAGTTTTCTTTTTTGTTTTCTTTTTGAGAACGAACAAACGAATCCGTATGTAAAATAGATTTACGTTATGCTTAGAAAGCGCATTTTTTAATCGATTTTGTTTCAAATAGAAGTGACAGATTTTCATACATGATCAGACTTCTTTTAATATGAAGATATAATTCTTATTATACAGTTTATTTTCTCAGCAAAAGAATATAATTAATTCTAAGGTTAGAGTATCAACTTTTTCGATGAATGATTCCTCCTATGAGTTATAGAATTACATAGGAGATCACATCTGGTTGGAATTATGTTGTCTACCGATTGTAATCTATAAGTACTCATCAAGAAAAGGTTAATGGAAAGACGATAATACGATTATTTCTTTATGAGAATATAGACTTCCATGATGTTTTACTTCAATTACATCAACCTTAATCTTTTTCTTTTTATAGAAATACTTCGCAAATACAAATATCCGACATACATCCAGCGTTAACAACAATTATGACAATTATACATTTTTTCTCCAATAAATCTATATCTATATTAATTAATCATTTTTAAATGTCTGTTGTTTTGTCTGTGACTTTTGCTTTAAAAATATATCGTCGTCATCAAAAATATGGTTTATACACACATATATATATATATAACATTTGATCAGAATAAAATAATGAAAAGATATAAATTGAATCTGATATAACCATATTGTGAAAATAATTCATTTTTTGTCAATTTAAAAAAAAAAAACAAACACAATACAGATAGCAAACGAACAAAAAAGGCCAACATGAGATGTATATTAAATCTATACTTTTAATATTGGATATATTATCTGATAATGGACAACTCACAAAAAAAACCAAAGAAGCACAGCACACACACACACATAAAACGTGTATAAAGAAAAAAATCGAGGCATCATATGTTGTATTTGCATAAAACAATATTTCATTATTGTCCGAAAACAAACAAAAGAAGCCATATCACAAAGAGAAAAGAAAATAAAGAATCATTGTTTCATCATCGGATTGAAATCACAAGGCGTCTAAATCAGGAGTAGGACAACTCTCGTCCGAAGTTACAGAAAGTGGATCAGGAGAAGCCATTGGTGCACGACCATCTTGTAACGATCGAAAATATCCTAAAAAACCAAAAATAATATAAATGAAAATTTTTGAATATAGAGTCTCATTCTCATTCTTTATTAACCTTTTGATTACTAATAAAAAATATATATACGAAAAATAGAGTAACTTTATATCACTCATGTTTTCATTTCTTAACGCATGAATGTAACATAAACTGTAACAAAATGATAATGAGAAAAATTTCTACTGTTTGACGTTTCCTTTGACACAGATGTATAGAAAAAATATCTATTATAATTAATTGCAATATTTTTATGTGATAATAAAGCTCCTCCTGATGCATATATATGCATCGTCAGTCATCAAAAGGTTAATCAGCCACAAAGCTGTACTGTTGTCCTTGTTTAATCGCTTGAGTTTCGTATACATACAATTAGTATTTATATTAGATAAATATATGTTGACATGAAGTATTAGAAGTGTCCCAAGTGAAGATAAATTCCCAATAAACTTCTATTTGACCTTTCCTGTTGTTAACTCTGACGTGACCTTGGGACACTCGTATGAAATATGGATCATCAATAACTTATTGAGAATTAGAAAGTAGTATTTTGAAGTAGATGATGAAGGATACAAACATTCAGTAATAATTACTTGTTAACAGATAAGACTTCGAAGATGTATGTCGATTTTGAACTCAAAGACATTAAGAAAAGTATGAAAAAATAAAAATTAATGATAGTGTTTTATTACGCGTAATAATTGAGGAAGTAATGCTTTATGGAAGGTTAAATTTGCTCTCTCAATGGGATTTATGAACATTGCAATTTGAAAACTATGTGTTTATTTCTTTGAAAAAGAAAATTTGTATATAACACGGATGAATGAATCTTCGTTTCGAGTTTATGCTTGATACATTAGGATAATGACATATTGCCTATTGTTTCAAGGAGTATCGAATTGAACTTCCTGGATATTGCGAAAGTTTCATATCGATTGCAGAATTTATAGAAAGAAGCGCGTTCATGTGCAAAAATCATTCACTAGCTTAGTTATAATGTCTGAAGGAAAGTTCAAAGTTTAGCATCGCTTTTGCGCTAGGAATATTCAAACTATATGAAAATGTCAGAATATATGAAGAATGTAATGAAGAGATTATATTAGTAAAATTTTCAGTTCATCTCTCTAATATTTTCGTGACATATTCATCAAGCAAAGGTCTATAATAATTAACTTGACATCGTGAAATTCTCGGTAGACCTTCATTCTGTATTTTATTTTTCTCGTGTTTGAAAATTACCAAGTTTTTCTTAATATAAAAGCAACCGAAAAAAGGAGTGAGTCTGGTCTAAACTTTTCGGACTCGATCGAATCGTAATTTTGATATTCTCAATGAAATTTTCTACTTGTAATTGGATAGTCGTTCGGAAGATACAAAATAGTTTTTCCTGTTTTTTTTTGTATTCATTGACTAGCGCATCCTACAGATTTCTCACGTCAGAAGAATAGAGTCCGTCGCGTTCAAAATTTTCAGACCCTGGTCAGCTTTAAGATCAAATTGATGGGTCCTATCTATTTTGCTTTTTACTTATTATCAATAAGACATATCCTCTAGGAGCACAGCATGCCACTTACATAATGTCAGGAAACATCGGCGAATAATATGAAAATAGTATATGCATAGTGTATATGAAGAAAGTAGGAAAGAAATAGTTGATTACAAGATTGTCTCGAAAATCGCTATTTCACCTGTAACTGATGTTGATGATGCTGGCGTTGGACTTAATGTAGCTGAAGATGATGATGATAATTGTGGTGTTGCAGATTGTTGATTTACTGTTTGAATTATAGATGTTTGAGATTTCTGTGAATTTGATTTAATACTATATGATGATGTATTTTGACTTTGATTATTTATTCGTGTTGTTTGATCGAATGCAACAACAGTAGCAGCTGTTGTACTACTTGAATCTGTATCTTGATTTGATGATGAACGTATTATTAATGGTCTAATCTGTCCAAATGATTGTGATTTTGATGATAAAATTTCTCTTGATGAAAGAGAACTATTATCATGTGGTGTTTCTTCAATTAAACTTGTTAAAAAACTTGAATCGAATGAATTAGTTGGTTTTTCTGTTAATGATATTGATGTTTGAAATTGTGTTGGAGATGATTCACGTGCTGGTTCACTTCGTTGTTTAATCATTGTTATAGCACGTTTAAATTGTGCTGTTAATTTTTGTTTTGGATGTGATAATATAGATGATAATGGTGTTATTAATGTATCAGATTGATCACTTTTCATTAAATCAGATGTTTCTAATGGATTTTTATCACGTATAGATGTTGACATATCAAACATATTTTTATTAATTGTTTTTTCTAAATTCATTTTACCACGTTTTCGACCAACACGTGCAGCTAGAATTACAAAAAAATTTAAGATAAGATTTTCGATGAAAATAGACACAAAAAAAATCATGCAAAAGTCTTCACAGCAAACATTCTCACATCTTATAGTTTCCTCTACTGGTTCAAATTTGCCTGTGTCTAAGATATTTTTTAAAGAAATTTTAAATATGAATCTCTCTCTCTATATATATATGTACAAACCTGGATTTTTCTTCATTGATTGTACTTTAAATCCATTAGTACTTAAAATTTCCAATAATTCAAAACTAAAAATTATATAACATTAAATAGAAGTTTACTAATCAATTTTTATATACCGAAATGCTGAAATATCTTGTTTTATTTCATTTAAATCATCTTCCGTTACACCTTCAGTTTGATCTTTTTGTTGACGTTTCATTATATAACGTTTAACTAATTCACGTATGACAGTTTGATATTTTATTTCACGTTCATTGATTTTACTGATTATTTTCTAGAATTTATAAAGCAAAAACAAACAAATTTTCTAGAATTATTCAGTTACTTAATTCCTCAGACCAGGAATCACATTGACAAATTTTACACCCTGACAGGAACCACAATGTTGCAGTCTCCGCCTGTCATACACAATTTCTTCCATGCTGCTATAGATCATATTTTTCTCTCTGCGAGAAAAAAGTACTTTTAATCATCAAGTTTTTCGAGTAGTAATTTTTTGATTATCTCTTCTTGGAGGCTTCTCCAGATCGACGATACTCTTAACTAATGGGTCTAAATTATAATGGAGAACACCACAGAATAAGAATAAAATTATCGTTGGTCTAGAGCAGCGCCTATGCTTCATTGACAAATAATATTGTGAAATGAATGCTGAAAAAAATGTTGGTAATGAAACCTACTGCCACCAATTTTCTATAGTTGTATTTTTTTTAATTTTTTTTTTACTACATTGATATTACCTATTTAGCTGTTCTGTTCTTTATTCAAATGATATGATGTAATCTAGTTGTCTGGCATCCTTTCACAGATATATATTTTCTCCTCTAATTAAATTAGACGGAAGCTATGTACTTATTCACCCACCACGAACAGAATCCTTCTCAGTAGAAGTTGCTGAGACTGAAGCTGGGACTACGAGAAAAAAAAAGTTATCCCAACCGAAACTAAAAGTTATAGTTAAATATTCTATGGTTTTTCAGCTAAGAACATAATTCAAAAGAGATGAGCGCAAAAGTACTATTCGTCGATTCAGTGAATAAAAAAAAAATGAGTATTGAAGAAAATTTTCTAGATGTAATACAAGTAAATTCTGGAATATTTTTCTCTAGAGTAATATCGAGATCCGAAAAGTAAAATCATCGTGACTATATTAATTGAAACTTAGATGAGATACATTACTGTAAAGAGCTACTAGGTTTTTTAATAATCTAACTTTGTGTTTATATATAATGAAATTTATCTGGAAGAAGATGAAA